GCGCGGGGCTCCCCGCGGACGAGCTCGCCGGGGGCGGCCTGGCGGTGAGCCCCAACCCCGGCGACAGGCCCATGACGCAGCGGGCGCGGTGCTGGTGTACTTCGTGGTCCGGACGGTCAGGATGAGAAGGAGAAACCGAAAGATGAGGAGGTATGGAGTTTTGGACACTAACATAGAAAACATGGAGTTGACACCCTTGGAACAAGATGATGAAGAGGATGATAACACTTTGTTTGATGCCAATCATCCTAGAAGATAAGAATGTGCCTTTTGATAAGAAGACTTCATCTTTCTACCTTGAAGAACAGCATTTCTATGTTTAAGGAATCAGAAGCCACTATACCACTGGGGGTGGGGGTTACGTTACAGACATTATGACCTTTAATTTTTTTGTTGCTGCAATAAATGCCGTACTTGGTTATTTTTGTTTTTTTTTTGTACAGAAGTGCTCTATTAATGGGCCTGTTGTCATTAGGAATAAACTGTATTGTAATAGTTTTATCTGAAAATTTCTTTAAAGGTTTTTTTTCCCATGAGTTTTTGTTTCTTACCATATTATTGTAAACTGTTCATACACTAATCAGTTAATGTTATTTTTGCTAGTATCATATTTTAAAGAACCATAAAATCTAACAGCCTAATACATAAAAATAATAAAACTGTCCTTTACTGAAATATATTTCCCATTTCTGTGGGGAAAAGAAGCCAAATTTATTATGTTGTTTTGGATTTTTAAATATAAATAAATGAGTTTGCAATGCAAAAAAAAATAATTAATGCATTGTACATTGTTATCTTCTTAGTGGTTATCCATAGTACAAGATGCAGACAGAATATCCTGTCCAAATACTATTAGTACAAATCTTTTTTTTCATTGAATTAAGCGAAAGTAGCTGTATATTTCTCCTAAGTATTCTGCATATACAGATACAAAATGGTCCTTCCTTTGTATCCCCTTTTTTTGTTTAGTCCTGTCTGAAATGGGTATTTCATTGGCATCTAAATACTATAGGTGCGTCAATTCAGCAAAACAATCCAACACAGTTCAGCAGTCCACATTAGTAATGTGTTATCCACAGAAGTTGTTCATTTTTTAAAATTTTCATCTCCATATTCTGTAGGGACTTAATGTTTAACATATCAATACTTGATGGAAAATACCTGTTCCATGTTATGCCTAAGATGTTTGATATTCACATAGATAGTGAAGTTAAACCCAACTGCATAAGATGTTGGGTAATAATAAGCTTCTCTTCTGGAGGGTTAACAACCTAAGTTTGCAGACCAAAAATTAGAGAAATAGAAGGGCTGCAAGGACAGTCCACATTTTGACCATAGCCTTTCAAGGTCAGTGAAGACTCAGGACATAGGAGAACCTATACTGTAACATCATGTGACTCAGTTGTGTCCCAAATTTTCTGATGAAGGAGATTATGGACCCACAGAGCAACGTGATCGATGACATAGTGTCCATACAGTTTTGTCAGCACACAACCACACTGTATTGTTTGTATGTAGTCTATGTCTGTTTTCATGCTACAACAGCAGAGCAGAATAGACTAGTTGTAATATATATGGTGAAGTCTGCAAAACCAAAAAATTGATAATGTAGCCCTTTTAAAAGAGGTTACTTGATCTAGTCTAAAGTATGTTTTAGTGGAGAGTCCCTGGTACTTGCTTTTTAAAAGATATCTTAGAGTTGAAAATATGATATTGCAGGGCTATTGCTGCTCAACAGCATACAAGAGGAAAGAAAGAAGGGATAGATAGTTTTAGGGCAATTATTTTGACAGAAGTAAGAATGCTACCTATTTCTGTATAAACATCTTATTCAAAAGGAAAATTTTAAAATGTGTTATATATACTCTACATATTTGAAACTAGTTCCCCTATGTTGTAAGTTTTCTCAAGTCTTCTGATTTATCTGAGATGGTAGCATTCTGACAATTGCCTCTAATTTTGAATTTCTTTTAGAAGACTAATCCTTTATTTGATGTTCCATTATTGAATAAAGTATATTTTTCAAGGTTAAGTCTGCATCATGTCATGTCATCTTATGTAGATGCCCTCTTCAGTTTAGTTTAAGGACTGGAAGATGTGAGATGAATTATTTTGTAGCATCATATAAATTATTTAAAACTAAATGGAGATATGGGAATTTAAAAGTTTGAAATTTTAAGCTGGTTGCTTTTCTTTGCAATGGAGGAAAAGATTGACTGTGATAGAGGAATTTCATGTGGAAAATGTATTTTTAGCCTCCAGATGTGCTGAAAATTCAGCATTGATTAAACACTTTTTAGAAGTAAATGTTTAGGCTCTATGATAGATCATGACTAATAGTCAAAGTATACTTATTCCATAAGAAACTATTTTACCTGAGTATTAATTAAAAGTACAAAAAATTCAACAGATTCTTCTCAAAAGATCTCTGAGGCTAATCATATTTGTTAATGCTTGCTTTCTACAAAGTTTATAATAGTTTACCTGTATTAAATTATCAATACTGATAATGCTGAAAGAAAAGCTATATGCATCATTGTAATCCTTAGTTATCAGTGGATTCAAGTTCCTCTCAGTTTGGGGAGGCATTTAATGAATCAATATGATTTCTGAGACTTAAAAACCTAACATTTCTACCAATACAGTTCAGAAACGTTCTTAGTTCAGCATTTGAAACCAATTTTTTTCATACATAGCTTTTGAAACTGGTTTTCTGTTGTGCCTAGTAAAGTCTGAGCAATATTGCACAAGTGGTTATTTATACCCACACATCTCCTTCCCTGTCCCAACAAGATCCACTTGCCCAAAGCCACAGCTGTGCTTCCACATCAATAACTTTCTGCAACCTTTTTTTTTCAGGCTTCCAGTGGAATGTATTGCTTCATACCCTACATTGTGACGATATATGGTGATTACTTTTATTATGAGAATGTTTACCAAAGGCAAGGTTTGGAATTCATGGAACCTACTTGGGAAGCTGACTTGAATCCAGTGTATATGCTCCTGGTGCATAAGTTCATTATTATCCTCAAGGACATCAATATCAATCCATGGTAATTCCCATCAGCCACCAAGAACTGTGGAAGTCTTGCCAGTATTTACCTTCACTTTCAGGGAGGCAGTACACCTTGAAATTATTAGGATAGCTGAATGTTGGCTAATCATTTAAAAATTATCCTGGAATCCATCATTCCTCTTAGTACCTAACTAAGCTTAGTTACTGAGGTAAAGCCAAAAAAGAGTAGAACTGGAGTAAGGAGTTTGGAATTGGGCTTGTGTCTAAACCTGACTCCTTGTGTAACTTTATTTTATTGTTTATTCATTTTTTTTGGTGGAACTGGGGATTGAACTCAGGCCCTTTCACTTGCCAGGGAAGCGCTTACTGAGCCATCTCCCCAGCCCCTCCTATGTAATTTTAAATGTGACTTTTCTTCTCTGTGGCTCTTTTAGAAAACAAGGAAGTTAAATTAGTGAGGCTTTTAAATGATTTGTTTAAACTGGGAGATTCTGTGTTTCAAAATAATTTTTGAACACAACTTTATAATCTGATACTGAAGTTCTTAAGATGCCAGGGTAACGTCATTCTGACCTTAAATTCTTATACTATGAGGGCCTGTATGCATTAAGTCAAACTAGTGATCCTAATCTACAGTATGTTAGGTTTACCTCAAAGGTGGATGGGTTTGAATTACAGGTCCTGGATTGGGCAAATGCTGGCTATGTAGCCTTGAAAATGTCCGTTTCCTTCCTTGAACCTCAGTACTTGATAAATTGTACTTTTAGTGTCCTTATTATAAAAGTTAAAGGCCAAATAATTATAATTATTCTTCTTAATGAAAGGGTCCAGTTGTTTTGTTCCCAGTCAGTTTAAAAGATTTATTCCTGGTAGTTGTGTCACAGGAGGAACAGTTGTCCTTTCAAACAAATGCAAATCTAAAGCATAGGCAGAACTGACTTGTAATGAAATGTCAAGAACTACATGTCACACTTTGGCTCAAATCATGGTACCTTGAACTGTGAAGAACAGTTAAAAGTATGAGGGTCATACTTATTAAAAGTCTACTCCCTTTTTTTATTCTGTTGCCTTTTCTCTTGGTGGAGACCATCTTCTGTAGACTCTAGTAGAAAAGATTGGAGACCTAGATATGTGTGACTACCTGACAATGCAGAAAGCAAATGGAGTTTTTGTAGCACATGCCTGACAAACCTCATTTGGCCATACCTTGTTAACTATTGTCTTAGTGCAAAATAAACTTTTAGTGAATTTAGGGAGAAAATGATCCCAATACCTTATTTTTGAATCTGACAAGGAGATAAACTAGCTTTGAATCTGCCAAATAAGTTGTGTCATTGTTAGAAATGGGTTCAAGTTTGTTTCTCATTCAGCATATACGTGTATTAGGAAAAGAAATTTCTCGATGTGGTTTACTTTTCAAGGGCTTCAAATGTCTGTTGGAAGATTCCACTCTATGGTTGGCAGGGAGTCTGCCAATGGTTAGTGACAAGACAAATGGTACTTTTGGTTGAAAACATCCATGGCAGAGATGTCAGGTGATTTTTTTTTAGCTCAAGTAATAACTCTGGTAGGTTTATAAAGTCTGTCTTGAGTCCTGTGCTGAAAAGGGCTTTGGAGCCATTTTCTTTTTTCTTTTCTTTTTTGTATTTTTTAGGGAAAGGTCGATAGGGTGCTCAAGGTCTCCCTACTAGATCCGACTCATAGTGATCTACCTGTTTACAGCATCCCAAGAGCTGGGAGTACAGGCTTGCGCCACCACACCCAGTCTCAATTGCCATTTCAGCTGGCCCCGGGGGCGGGGCCGGCCCAGCCGGCCCAGCAAAGCCATTTTCAAGTTGATATTAATGAGTAACATCTTCCCTGGTCACTAGAGGCAGAAATGCTTGCATGTTTACTACATATTTGATGTCTCTAAGACATAATCAGGACAGTATTTTATTTACTTAAAAATTACTGTTCTTGTTAGATTTCTTCATTTATTAAAAGTTTTTCAGAATTGTCCTTGAAAACAAGACTAAGGTATAACTTTTTACCAATCAGGTTAACCTAGTAACACTTATTAGTTTTGGTCTACCAAATTAGTAGCCTTTATAGTCTACCAAATTGTTGTCACCCAACTTAATGACTCATTCGATTAATGACAGAATTTTAAACACAGGCATATTCTACTAATTTGCTCATCATTAAAATAATCACAGTTAACAAACAAGGAAATAAAAATTTAGACAATGCATTGATATTTTTATATCAGGGCACTTTCTGTGGGATATCTTCTTATTTAAATATAATTCAGGTATTATGAGTATCAGAACGGAATGTGTACTATACACACATTTCTGTAGCATAGCTTTATAATTATTCAGAGTGAGTACCATTTGTCTTTACCCTGTGTTTTGTTTTCCTTTCTCTAGAGACAGCTATTTAATTTAGCCTGTTCTCTTTTTAATAAGCAGCTTAATTTTACTCTCTAAATTTAGCTTTTTCAGCTTCTTAATGAGTTGACAGTATTACTGCTTGGCAGTGACCAGTGTCTGCTTTAAAATTACTTGGAAAATGGACAAGATATTAAATAAATCTGTGGTCATTGTAAGTCGACCCCTCTATACCAAGTCAGGACATCTTTTGTTTTTAAACCTAGTACCATGTACTAACATTGGCTCTCTGAGAGGCTGTGGTGACAAGCAGGTGTGGATTTATGTTGCTTTAAATATTTTTATATATTTTTGTTACTGTCTAGATACCCTTATGAAGCAAATTTTATATTTTGCATCAGAAAAAAGTTTGTATGGTACTTTATATTGACATATTTTACATTCTGGTAATCAAGTATGATAAGAGGAAAGGGGTGAAAGTTGAGGATGTCCTTGCATTTGCCCACATGGCCTCTGTGCATCCCTTTTGAGATTGTTCAAGGTCACAACACTAGTTTCTAGCTCTCCTTCAACTAGGGAAAGTTTAGTGATCACTAAAAGGAACACTTAATAGGCAGGTATAGGGCCGGGGAGATGGCTTAGTGGAATAAGCACTTCCCTGGCAAGTGCAAGGGCCTGAGTTCAATCCCTGGTTCCGCAAAAAATAAAATAAAATAAAATAAAAATAGGCAGGTATATTTTCAAAGTGAATTTCCCTTTGTTTTGTGGCTTTGAGGGTTTTGTTTAGCTTTGTGATTCTTATTTGGGGAAAATATTCAAGTAGAGTACCTTCTTGCCCTATATAGGTTTAAAACTAACAGAGAAAGGTTGAATAAGAAGTCCTGCATGCCATCTGAATATTTTAACTTTTGAAAATTTTAAAGTTCTAAGTTTAAAATTGTAATATTAGTTTCTGATCCATTTATCGGAGATGTGAATAACAGTCTAAGAATCCTTTGGATGCTGGTTCAGGGAGACTCAGGTCTGGTCTGAGTTCTCCAGCTGTTATCTTAAGACATGTTAGTGAGAATTGTGTGTTTGAGCATTGAAAAAAAAGAGTCTTAAATGAAAGTAAATATAACTGGAGCATTTTGTATTTCCCTCTTTAGTACTTATCACAAAGAAGTCTTGTTAAGTGACATCCGGAAAGCCAGAGAAAACTACAAGAACAGTGAACTGGTGAAAGAGTTGGCTGGAATTAAACTTCGCATGGATAGCATTGAGGTTATGACTTCAGACATCATCATTAATTTACTCCTGTCCTACCGTGATATTCAGGTATGAAATGTGCCTTGCTGAAGCTGAATTTTTCCTTTGAATGAGAAACTCCTCATATGAAATACTCTTATCTCAGGTATATGGTAGTGTAGATGTTTTATATAAACAGGCATATGACTAGGTGATAGGTCATTTAGCTTAACTACTGTGGTAGAAATTTTGGAGGAAGTTTTTGTCATGTTTGGCCTAGTGTGACCACAGTCACAAGAGATCACATATGCAGAAACTACTTAGAGTAAGAAACAATGACTGTGGCTTGGTAAGTGCAAGGTCCTGAATTTGATCCCCAGTACCCCCACAAAAAAGAAACAATGACTATGATAATTTATAAACACTTCATGCTATGCATTGTTCCAAGCCATTTGAAACTCATTTATTTAATCCCCTTAACCCTATGGTATAGGTCTACTTTATAATTATACCGATTTTGTAAATAAGGGAAACAAGGCATAGAGAAATATAGTAATTTACCCCAAATCACAGAGTTGTTAGTAAACTTAAGAGTCAGACTGAGGCCAATTATCTCCATTATCCCTGTTCTTGACTCTTCTGTTACTTTTTTAGGCCTTTTTCACTTTTTTTTTTTTTTTTTAGGTGCCGGGGATTGAACTCAGGCCCTTGCACTTGCCAGGCAAGCGCTTATTCTACTGAGCCATCTCTCCAGCTTCTTTTTTATTTATAATCACTTATTAGTGACAGCGCAGATTGCAGAGGCCTGTACAGGATCTAGAGAATGTAAATGTTTATTCTACGACAGGTGTCAGAAGACACTGGAGAGTTCTCGAGACAAGGCTTGTGGGCTATGGTGCCATGAAGGAAATCAAGCATTTCCCCCTCAAATTTAATTTGCTATGGAATCATTTCTAAGGGTATCTTGCCTCTTTTCTCTCTGGAGACACACAGGATAACATATCTCACTTGTGGAATTCTGCAGATTCAGAGTTCTGCAAATTCAAAATTATTTTCTAGTTATTTGAAGCTAAAAATGGAAACAGCCACTTATAATGTGGACCAAAAACAGAGTTAGCTACTAAATAACTCATACACCTAGTAATAGATACAGCCAACTGATGTTAATTACAAGTGCTACTAGGGATTATACATACCCCCATGAGATTGACCTCTCTTGAAGTCTGTCTTCCTTTGGACTACTGGCTTTCTTCTTCCCTTGACTTCAAGCAAATGTTCATGTGTTAACCTTCCACTGATGGTTCTTATAGGACCAAAGTTGAGTCAAGAGGGGTTCCTGGAATGTACTGCCTTCTCTTTCCTGGGGCAGCTGTATCAAGGTGCAGAGCCATGAGACAGGCATGGGCTTTCAGTAGGAAGTCCTCCTCTGCTTGACTATACGTAGCACAAAGTTGGTCAATATACCAATAATTCTAAGCCTGGATGAAAAAGATAACAGAAGGGCCAGCCAGATAGCTCAGCAGACTAAAGTGCCTGCTTAGGCAGAGTGCAGTGGTCTGGGTTTGATCTCAGGCTTGCTGTGCCAGGCCCACCCCTGGGGCATGCTGAGATAGCTTCTGAGACTGGGAGTGGTGGCACACACCTGTAATCCCAGCGCTTGGGAGGCTGAAAATAGGAGAATCACCACAAGTCTGATCTACATAGTGAGACCCTGTACACCCTGTTCTAAATACATATTTAAAAAAAGAAATAAAAAGAATAACAGCACTACAATAGTAAGAAGAGGTGACTAAGACATAAATGGTAGCAATTTTTCCCTGGGTAATTATGCAGGTTCTCAGCCTTTGAGAATTTGGCAGCATCTGGAGACATTTAGGTGTCAAAACTGAATGTGAGTTAGGAAATTACTTCTGGCTTCTGGGTAGAGGCCAGGGAAGGGGCTATGTATCCTGTAGTGCACAGGACAGCATTTCATTGCAGAATGTTCTGGGTCTAGTTTATTGATAGTGCTGAGGTCAGTAGTGCTGAGGAGCCCTGTTTTAGATTAACTTGTTTGATTCTAGCAAAAACAGGAAGGAGTAAGATATTTTCTTCCTTTATGTGGGAGGTTAAGTTTTCTTATATTTATACGTCACAGCTCTGCTACTGGTGTTAACCCTCCTTCACTTTTGATTTCTTTTGTTCCCATTGGATTAACAGTTTCCCTTTGATCCCTGTGTGTCATTTACATCAGGGGTTCCTTCTTTGTCCTTCCCTCCCTTATTCATCTTGTTTTTTATCTGTTCTAGCAGAGCTAACAGTAACATTACTAAAACTATATAAGAAAAGTCTGTTTCATGTTTATATCTACTGAGAAATCTGCAAAGAGCTGTTACCTGTCTTTCTTATCTTGAGACCTTTTGCCAACAGGATTATGATTCAATGGTCAAGCTGGTAGAAACCCTGGAGATGCTACCTATGTATCATATGACTGATCAGTGTAATATTAAATACTACTATGCATTTGCACTAAACAGGTAAGAATGATGTATATTTATGGTTTTGAAACATGCCATCTGTTAAAATCTGCTTCCTACTTTATTCAGCATTCATCAAATATGAGCCAGGTTATATGCTAAATGTGAAGCTTATGAAAATGGGCAAGGCACAGTCTTTGTCCTCGTGGACTTTGTCTTTGGAACATATATCCTGGCTGTAAGATGAGATGCATAAATAAATCCTAATAATACATGATGGTAACTGGTTTAATTAAAGTTTTCCAAAGTGATATGGATGTATAGCAGAAGGGAATCAATCTGCTTGAGAGTTCTTAAAGAAGTCTCTCTGGGTCTTCTGGGCTGTTGTGAAGAATTAGTAAGAATAACCTCATGAATGGGAGAAGATGGGGGATAGAGAGAGGGTAAAAAGCCATTCTGTTTGGTCAGACTAGAGTATGAGTATAGAGTTCTTTGTGTACAAGGTGCATTCATGGAACATTCAGTGCAAAGAGAATATAGATGCAGGTGAAACAAATGCAGGCAATACAGCTAAGCATATAGGGTGGAATCATGTCAAAAAGAATTTGTAGACTTGAAGGAGTTGGTAAAGTTTTATAGATTGTGGGGGATGTTTTAAGAAACAATTTTGACATTGTATAATAGGGAAAGATAGAATTATCTTCACATAGTAGTATAATCTGAATTTGGGAATTCAAAATACTAGGCTAAATAGAGCATGTGAAACTTTGTGTGAAGACCACATGCTTCAAAAGTTTAAAATGGTAAAGGTGATAGTTAAGATGCAAATTAGTTAAGATATAAAAAACACAATTACGGTGATTTTTAAAAGATTAACATTTCCTGTTAGCATAGCAGGTCTCATGGCACAGCACACTCTAGGAGTTGCTTAGGGACTTAGAATCCAACTGTTTTGGGCTGGGGATATAGCTCAGTGGCACAGCACCTATCTACCAAGTGTGAGGTCCCGAGTTTGATTCCCAGTACCAAAAAAAAAAAAAAACAGAATCCAATCATTTTGTAATTCTTTTGTCACCTACAGTATTGACTTTAGTGGTATAATTGAAGGTACAATATTGACTGCCTATGTTCCAGCACATGGACTGGGAGGGAGGCACTGAAGAGGAAGTTCAGGGCAGGTGATTTCCTTCAGTGCAAGTAGAACTTATGCATGCTATTTTTATTCACATTCCACTGGTGAGAACTGTTACATGACTCCAGTTGCAGGAGGAACTGGGAAATGTAGTCTCTAGCTGAGCAGCACTATGCCTTGCCAAACTTGGATCTGGGGGCCATATAGCTAGGAGTTTGCCACATTCAATCCCACAAAAATTCCAGATGACTAAGTATCTTAGTTCTCTTATCTCCCTTCCTCCATTTATAAGATACAGGAAGCGGAGCAACACCAGGTGAATATCATGTGAGCCATGCACAGATACACTCTCTGCTGGGCTTGTTTCCAGCCTGATCTGGGAATTAATCTTATCGAGTTATATACAGCAGAGTATTCTGGGATGGTAGTTACAAGACTTTCATATCTGATCTCCCAGTTTCACAGGCTCTGCTTTTCTAGCACCATCAGTAGGAAAGCAGCAACAGGAGCCCTTGGTTTCAAGAGTCTTATACATGTGAGGTCACATCTCTTTCATTTTTTTTTTTTTTTTGATGGAATCGGGGATTGAACTCAGGCCCTTGCGCTTGCCAGGGAAGCGCTTATTCCACTGAGCCATCTCCCCAGGCCCATCTTTCATTTTAATTGAGGTAAAATTTGCAATCAGTGAAGTGCATAGATCTTAAATATATGGTTTGGTAAGTCAATATACACAGGTAAACAATACTCCTGTCAACATAAAAAAAAATCTACATTACCTTAGAAGTTCCTTGTGCCCCTTTGTAGGCAGTCCTTTCCCCTTCTTAGACAATTACTGTTATAGCCTCTATCTGCATAATTTTGCTTGTTCTTGAACTTTGCATGAACGAAATTACATAGTATGAGATCTTTTATGTCTTTTTAAAAATTATTTATTTATTTGGTACAGGGTCTCACTGTGCAGCTCAGACTCATAGTGATCCTCCTGTCTTAACCTCCCCAGTGCTAGGATTATAGGTGTGTGCCACTGTGCCTGGTTTTGGTGGCTGGGACGGAATACCTGGGGTTCCAGGTCTGCGCAGCATGTGGTACTGGGGATTGAACCTGCGTCCTTGCACTTGCCAGACAGGTACTTAGACCACTGAGCTATCTCCCCAGCCCTATGTATGATTCTTTTATATCCAGCATTGTGTTCATAGGACTCATATATGCTGTTATGTATATTACTAGTTCATTCATTCTCATTGCCATGGAGTGTTCTATTGTATAGACATGACACAATTCATTTTAGTGATAATAGATCTTTAGGTGGTTTCCAGTTTGGAGCTATTAAGAACAGTGATTCTATGCACATTCTTTGCAGCTTTTTGTTAATATATGTACACATTTCTGTTGAATATGTAGCATTTACATGTAGCACAAACCAGCAAACAATGGGGTTTTGATTCATTTTTGGAGAAAAGCCTTTATAGTCTATGAAAATGTACCTATACTTTACAGTGGCCCTTAAACTCAGCATTCATAGTAGGAAATATCTTCAAGAATGAAGGCTAGTCTTCATTAAGCCTGAAAACCCTGTTACCCAAAGCATAGTGGGCTCAGTTTTCAGTTATATTTATTTATACCTATATACACTTGATTGGTCTTTGATTTATAAGAATTATATATATTAGAATTTGTGATTTTCTATGGCAACTACAAATGCTATAAAAATAGACTTGCTAAATAAAAATTGAGGTCCATATAAGTTAGTCATCACTGTCTTTCCCTGATGGAGTAGAAGCAACTGTAACAGGATTTGAAATGGGAAGATTGGTTTCTGTGAGAAATATATGCAGCAGGAGAAGGTGATCCTAGACAAGTATGTTTCAGATTTGGAAACAGAATGACAAAGATTGTATGCCAAAAAGCCATTTTTTCTCTTTGCTTTCTAGTATATTTGTTTGCTGTGAAACAGTGGCTGTATATTGTAGATCAGGCAGGATTCTCAATACTTAGAAGCCTCATTTTCCCCACAGAAAACTAGGAATTTTTATAGAATTGTAGTATTTGTTCCAGTTATATATGCAATGCAATTCTGAACTTTAGATTTTCACTTTAGGTGCAGCCTTGCCAGATATCAACATAGTTTCAGTAGGATTTGGCATTATGTATGGTTTTGAAAAGTTTGTGGTGTCATTTTATAGTGACTGGCAAAAAGTAAATTTTCCTGAATTACAGTTGGCCTTTGATTCTTAATAATTGGACCAAATCATGGCCATAAATTATTTACTAAAGTTTGTTGGAGCTGGATGGCATTTGACTCTCAAATGGCAGGGGCTCCCTGTTGGTAGGAGTGCTGGCTTGGGCTGGATAATTTTTTTTTGGTATCTTTCACTTCACTACATTTGGAAGTCTATTCAAAACTGCTTCAAGTTTCCACGAAGCAATTAAATTTCTGGCCTCATAATTGTATGAGATCCTTTATGAGCAAGTTTTATTTGCTGTTGCTTTTGCAGATGGCCATTTATTATGTATACTTATGCAAGCAGAATATTCTGATCAGGGATACAGCCAACAGGCAAAAAAATTGACTAAAAGAAGCACATCAGAATCAAAGTCCTTTGTTAAAACAAAAATTTTCTATTGCAAAATACAAGGCATAGGGGCCGGGGAGATGGCTCAGTAGAATAAGCACTTGCCTGGCAAGCGCAAGGGCCTGAGTTCAATCCCCCAGTTCAGCAGGGGGAAAATAAAAATGTGTTCACAATTAATTTAAAAAAGGGGGGCCGAGCAGATGGCTTAGTAGAACAAGTGCTTCCCTGGCAAGCACAAGGGCCTGAGTTCAATCCCCGGTTCCACACACAAAAAAAAAAATGCAAGGCATATGTTCATATTCCACCTCTTGCATCTGTAGATCAAGGCCACCAACTCAGGCAAATTTTACCTCATTGAGTTACCTAAAACATGTAGTGGAAACAGTAGATGATGCATTTATTGGAATGTTTAACATGTCATTCAGTAAATGGCAGGCTGGCGAGATGGCTCAGTGGTCTAAAGTGCCTGCTTAGGCAAGCTTAGGCAGGTACAGGGGACCATTGTTTGATCCCTGGCACCACATACCATGCCAGCCCCACCCTCAGGGTGGGCTGAGTGGGCCAAAAAAAAAGTAATGGTAAAGCCAGACATGGTGGAGCACACCTGTAATCCCAGCACTTGGGAGGCTGAGACAGGAGGATCATTGCTAATTTGAGACCAACCTGGGCTACAAAGCGAGCTCAGGGCTAGCCTGAGCTATAAATTGAGCTCAAGGCCATCCTGAGTTGCATAGTGAGATTCTGTCTCAAAAAGGCAAAAAAAAAAAGTAATAGTAGCAATAGAGAGAGGAAGATGATCTGTGGACCCTAGAAGTGTGTATGTGTGTGAGTATTGTATGAAAGTGACTGAATCCAGTCCACGCCAGAGGGACTCCATGCTTGTTCTAAAACCTATAGCAGTCACCCAAGTCAGCCTCTGGGCTTCCCAAACCAGGTCATTCTCTAAAGGGACACTTTCCCCAGAAGGGCACTGTGGGCTTTCATCTCTGCAGAAGCTATCAGTCTCTTTTTGTCTCTTCTGTATGTTCACTATTAAATATTATCATCTTGCCATGTGTTGTGGTACATGCCTATAATCTTAGTACTAGGGAGGCTAAAGCAGGCAGGTTGCTGCAGGTTTGAGGCCAGCCTGAACTGTGTAGTAAGACTCGTGTCTTAAAAAGACCAAAAAAAGGATTTTTTTTTTTTTTTTTTTTGCTCTGAATGCTTTCAGGGCAGGTTTGGCTGGCTTGAGTTGTGGGGATCGAACCACAGCAACCTGAGCCTGACTGCTTTGTTGAAGCAGCCACTTAAAGAACTGAGCTAAGGGGCAGGCCCCCCCAAAAGACCAAAAAGAGATAAATAAGAAACCCATC